TCATCATCATCATCATCATCATCATCATCATCATCATCATCATCATCATCATCCAAATATACTTCTGTGAGACCTACCCTCCTGGAGACAACTCCACGGCACTTTGCCATATTTTCTGCTTCTCTCCATGCTTGGGTGACACATTCTCTTCCTTCTTCTTCTTGGTCTTCTCCTTCCTCTTTTTTTCTCTACCTTTCTTTCTATCACCATTAACTACCGAAGAGCCATTTCATTGTACGGGCCGAAAGTGGCTAGGTTTTTGTGTTATGATTTGATGACGTACCAGTGTGCATTTCTGTTTGTTAAGCTTTTTTCAAGATGTCGTTATTCGAAGACTCCCTGACCTATGTCTTAACCCTATCCGTACGCCCTGGGGGTCATTTTGTACCCTCGAGGTTGTATTCTTCACATTTTAGAATACTTCTAGTACGAAGATCTCTTTGAAACTTTCAGTATTTCAAAAAAAATTTAAAAATTTTGACAGACTGCTATGCAAAGCGAACGGATCGGATTAACGAGTAAATTTCCTCTTTGGAAAGTGATGGCACAGAGTTCCCCTCGTCGTATGTATACGATAATAAAACACGACGTACGGATAGGGTTAACTATGGTTTTTGTACTACTGTCTGCAGTGCAGCGGTTAGGGGCATCGCTGTCACACGCTGGAGACCCGAGTTGTGATTCCAGAATAGGGAGAAATTTTTAGCAAGTACCAGTATTTCGCTTTTTCTGCTGGAATGCTGTATCTCTCTCAGCCCGAGTTGAGGGGTGGTAGGGTCGGAAGCCGCCTTCTAAATGATCTAAACTGTGTTGTGGATCGTAAAATCACCTACATTATGAAAAAACCCATCTGTAGCGCTTAGCTCAAGTGCATGAAAGAAAAGGGCAGCTGGACGTAACACAGCCTAAAATGTCCTTTCTGGAGAGGGCTTCTGCCCCAAACCGACAAAACTGTAAATGCTTGACCTTTACTAGAACCACAGGCTCTTTGACTTGGTTGAGAGTGACGTCAGCTCAATTGATATCACACTGAGCTATTGTGTCGATGATCCTGGTTCGATTCCACAAGAGAGCGTTCAGAGAGTCTCCAAGGAGGTAGACATTCTATTCGTTTACGATTCACGATCTATTCATTTTTTTTAAAACTCAAGACTGTAGCATATAGGACAAAAATAAAAATGGAGGTAGGCCTTTTTCGACAGCTGCTCCCTCAGTGTGGAATCCCTCCCCCC